GACGCCCAAATACGGCCCGCGGGTGCAGCTGCCAGCCTGGCCTGTTGGTAACGCACTTGTTAAAGGGCGCGGGGGGATCCCGGGGGCTGAGCCCTTGGCTGGAGCAGCCCGAGGAGTAACTCTTGGGGTGCTGCGTGCCCGTCAGGGAGGGGAGGGTGTCTGCAGAGGGATTTCTGCAGGGCGGGGGGCGAGTTACAGGAAGCTTAGGAAGCTAGCTGTGACCCCAGCAACACACGGCGGGCAGGACACAGCTCTGCCTGTCTCACCCTGGCATTCACACGCGTCCCTAGTGCACAGAACTCCCCTAGCTTCTAATTGTGTGTGTGTGTGTGTGTACATACACACTCTGCTGCGTCAGTTTTCTAGCGCGCAGCCCCCTGGAATCCCCTGGCCCCTTCCACCCACCTAGTCCAATGCCCGTCCCTCTCCTTTCCGCCCTGGGCCACACGCTGGTCTCTGCTGACCGATGGGCTGGCACAGAGTCCCTGAGTCCTGTGCTCACAAGCTCTGTTCTGCCGTGTGCGCCTGCGGCTTCCCTCCCTTGCGTTTCACACCGCGGGCTGGCTGAGTCCTTGCTGGGGGCCCCGCCCACCTGGACCTGCTGCCACACGGATGCTCAGGACGGTCAGGCGGGGTGCACTGCTTGCCACGGTGAAAGCGTGCTCGGAGAGGCAGCTCCGCCTGGCTTCATACAGGGCAGTCCCAGAGCATCGCCCTGCGAGCTTTGGCTCGGCTACCCCAGCGCACGGCTCCGCGCGGGAGACGGCTCATCGGTAATGAACAGCTCGCGCCCTCAGAGCCGAGCACGCAGCCTCCTTCACGATTGGAGCGGCTTCCTAGAAGCCGCCATGAAGTGTCACTTCCCCCGTCCGCCTGCAAGGGCTGCTGGGCGGTGAATGTCCGTGTGGAGCCGAGTTCACCCTGGCAGCAAGGTCCAGGCTGACCGTAGATGGCAAGGCCAGACGGGATGCACAGCTCACAGCCGTGCCTGCCTGCCTGGGGACCACGCCCTTTGGTGGTGGGTAGTGGGGCCTGGGGCTGGCTCCCAGCTCTGCTTCTTCCTGAGTGTTTCTAGTGCCTCTCTGCTAGGCCAGTTCTGCTGGCTCTGAGCCGCCATCCGGGGCATTGGCAAACGTAAGCTGTGCTCGCTGAGGCAGCCCAGCCTCAGAGAGCGGCCAGGCCCAGACCTCAGACTCGTCCCGAGCCGGGTAGCGTGTCGTGACCCTGCCCAGTGGGGGCCTGGCTGCGTTCCCAGCCAGCGAGGCTCAGACCAGGCTGGGACGTGGCATTGGAGCGGTTCCCCCGCCGGCCTGGCTCGCCGCGCGTCCCTCACCTTCGGTTACGAGAGCAGGCAGGCAGTTGCTCCGCAGGCACGCGGGATGAGGAGGGTCCAGGCGGGAAGCTGTCTGCCCAGGGCAGTGTTCACGCCTGGCTCCCTTTGGCTGCATCTGCAGGGGAGATCTTTGAGCTGAAGGCAGAGCTGAACAGCGACAAGAAGGAGAAGAAGAAGGAGGCCGTGAAGAAGGTGATCGCGTCCATGACCGTTGGCAAGGATGTCAGGTGTGCTGCCGTGCGTGGCGTGGGGAGGCTCTGGGGAAGCCATCTCTTGCTGCAGGGGGGCCCGAACGAGAGCCAGCTGCGGGGATGCCCTGGCGGCTGGCCCAGAGCTGGGCTTGAGACTGAGTGCCGCGTAACCGGGCCTGTGGCTTGAGGCCTGCCTCAGTTTCCATGGCAGACGGCTCCTTTTGGCTCTGGTCTCGGGTGAGAGCTTCCGGGGGAGCGCAGCCTCTGCCCTGCAGGGGGATGTTCTAGTGGGGGCAGGCGCAACTCGAATTTGCGAGGGCTTGGACTAGATTCCAGACCAGCGGGCTGGCGCTGATTGCTGCTTTCTGGAAACCGAACCTTGTGTCCCTTCGATAAAAGCGAGCCAGCCCCCTTCCGCAGAGGGCGGCGTCTCTTGTCGCTGAGCCGAAAATGAGCTGTCAGGCTGAGCTCCTGTGCTGCAGCACCAGGTGTGGGTAGCCGGTAGAGAGCGCTGAGTGATAGGAGAGCTCTGTTTGCAGCCGGAATTCCAGGGGAGAGCGTTTTGGTGTGGGGAAGGTGTCCATTAGGGACTGCTTGGTGGCGCAGATCCATGAAGAACTCCAGATGTTGGAATGGCTCCTTCGGATCGGCGGAGACTCACATTTAGAAATCTAAACGTGAGAGCTGGGAGGGGGTAGCCGGTAGAGAGCGCTGAGTGATAGGAGAGCTCTGTTTGCAGCCGGAATTCCAGGGGAGAGCGTTTTGGTGTGGGGAAGGTGTCCATTAGGGACTGCTTGGTGGCGCAGATCCATGAAGAACTCCAGATGTTGGAATGGCTCCTTCGGATCGGCGGAGACTCACATTTAGAAATCTAAACGTGAGAGCTGGGAGGGCCGGGGAGGTGGGACGTGGCTGGGCCCGGGCATGCCAGCCCAGCTAACTCGTTCCCCTCCCATCAGAGCGGCCAGACGGGGTCAGACCCAAGTTCCATGTAGCCCAGGGTCCTGTCTGCTGGCAGCGGCCAATGCCAGGTGCCCCAGAGGGAGGGAACGCAGCAGGGAATCCAAAAGAACAGGGAGTCATTAAGTGACTCCTCTCTTGGCATCAATTTCCAGCCTCTAACAAACAGGCCAGAGACACCATCCTTGCCTATCCTGGTTAACAGCAATTGATGGACCTAACCACCATGAATTTATCTAGCTCTTCTTTGAACCCTGATACAGTCTTGGTCTTCACGTCCTCTGGCGAGGAGTTCCACAGGTTGACTGTGCGCTGCATGAAGAAAAACTTCCTTTGGTTTGTTTGAAACCTGCTGCCTATCTGCGTAGCACTGGGATGGCCCTCTTTCCAGACGTGGTGAACTGCATGCAGACCGATAACCTGGAGCTGAAGAAGCTGGTCTACCTGTACCTCATGAATTATGCCAAGAGCCAGCCAGACATGGCCATTATGGCTGTCAACACCTTCGTAAAGGTGAGACGGGAGAGGTGAGGTGAAGGGCTCAGGCTCGCTTTGCTGTGTGTAGCCAGAACCTACTCCGCCGCTGTCCTGTCTGAGCTTGGGGGAGGAACGAGACGCCCGCCACCCGGTCCACCAGTAATTGTGCAGGTTATGCTTTCGTTTCGGTTCCTCGGTGTGGAGGGCCGCCCTAAATCCACACTGAGGCACCTAAGGGAGAGGCCCTCGTTAGCAGTCAGTACGCGGCACCGCTGCCATGCAGATTGCTTTCGTTTCGGTTCCTCGGTGTGGAGGGCCGCCCTAAATCCACACTGAGGCACCTAAGGGAGAGGCCCTCGTTAGCAGTCAGTACGCGGCACCGCTGCCATGCAGATTGCTTTCGTTTCGGTTCCTCGGTGTGGAGGGCCGCCCTAAATCCACACTGAGGCACCTAAGGGAGAGGCCCTCGTTAGCAGTCAGTACGCGGCACCGCTGCCATGCAGATTGCTTTCGTTTCGGTTCCTCGGTGTGGAGGGCCGCCCTAAATCCACACTGAGGCACCTAAGGGAGAGGCCCTCGTTAGCAGTCAGTACGCGGCACCGCTGCCATGCAGATTGCTTTCGTTTCGGTTCCTCGGTGTGGAGGGCCGCCCTAAATCCACACTGAGGCACCTAAGGGAGAGGCCCTCGTTAGCAGTCAGTACGCGGCACCGCTGCCATGCAGATTGCTTTCGTTTCGGTTCCTCGGTGTGGAGGGCCGCCCTAAATCCACACTGAGGCACCTAAGGGAGAGGCCCTCGTTAGCAGTCAGTACGCGGCACCGCTGCCATGCAGATTGCTTTCGTTTCGGTTCCTCGGTGTGGAGGGCCGCCCTAAATCCACACTGAGGCACCTAAGGGAGAGGCCCTCGTTAGCAGTCAGTACGCGGCACCGCTGCCATGCAGATTGCTTTCGTTTCGGTTCCTCGGTGTGGAGGGCCGCCCTAAATCCACACTGAGGCACCTAAGGGAGAGGCCCTCGTTAGCAGTCAGTACGCGGCACCGCTGCCATGCAGATTGCTTTCGTTTCGGTTCCTCGGTGTGGAGGGCCGCCCTAAATCCACACTGAGGCACCTAAGGGAGAGGCCCTCGTTAGCAGTCAGTACGCGGCACCGCTGCCATGCAGATTGCTTTCGTTTCGGTTCCTCGGTGTGGAGGGCCGCCCTAAATCCACACTGAGGCACCTAAGGGAGAGGCCCTCGTTAGCAGTCAGTACGCGGCACCGCTGCCATGCAGATTGCTTTCGTTTCGGTTCCTCGGTGTGGAGGGCCGCCCTAAATCCACACTGAGGCACCTAAGGGAGAGGCCCTCGTTAGCAGTCAGTACGCGGCACCGCTGCCATGCAGATTGCTTTCGTTTCGGTTCCTCGGTGTGGAGGGCCGCCCTAAATCCACACTGAGGCACCTAAGGGAGAGGCCCTCGTTAGCAGTCAGTACGCGGCACCGCTGCCATGCAGATTGCTTTCGTTTCGGTTCCTCGGTGTGGAGGGCCGCCCTAAATCCACACTGAGGCACCTAAGGGAGAGGCCCTCGTTAGCAGTCAGTACGCGGCACCGCTGCCATGCAGATTGCTTTCGTTTCGGTTCCTCGGTGTGGAGGGCCGCCCTAAATCCACACTGAGGCACCTAAGGGAGAGGCCCTCGTTAGCAGTCAGTACGCGGCACCGCTGCCATGCAGATTGCTTTCGTTTCGGTTCCTCGGTGTGGAGGGCCGCCCTAAATCCACACTGAGGCACCTAAGGGAGAGGCCCTCGTTAGCAGTCAGTACGCGGCACCGCTGCCATGCAGATTGCTTTCGTTTCGGTTCCTCGGTGTGGATTGAGCTTGAGCCCCCAGCCTGAACGCTGGCCCAAAGACGGGCTGACTCTAGTGTCCCTTTCCACACCTGTAGGACTGTGAGGACCCCAACCCCCTGATCCGGGCCCTGGCTGTGCGGACAATGGGCTGCATCCGGGTGGATAAGATAACGGAGTACCTCTGTGAGCCCTTGAGAAAGTGTCTGAAGGACGAGGACCCCTACGTGCGCAAGACCGCAGCCGTCTGCGTGGCCAAGCTCCACGACATCAACGCCCAGCTGGTGGAGGACCAGGGCTTCCTGGACACGCTGAAGGACCTCATCTCGGACTCCAACCCTATGGTGAGCGCTCCTCCAGCCCTTCCTCTCTCTCCGAGTGCAGCAGTCTGCTCCCAGGCCCTCATCCTTGCCCCCCAGTCCAGGCACAGCCCTCTGCCTGGTGCGGCATTTGCTGCTTCAGCCGGGCCCCAGAACACAAGCACAGTGAGGGCTGTTCAGAGGCCTTGCTGACCAGACTAAGGAGGCTTCTTTGGGCTCGGGCAGGGACTCTCCTTGCCTAGAGCCCTTGGTGTCGGCCTCTCCCAGAGCCATGCTCGTGCCAGGCTGCAGCACGCTCAGCAGTGCGGAGGGGCCTGGGCACGGGACCTCGGGGCGCTCCCGGCTGGCTGCCGCCCGGTGGAAAGTGGCAGCTAACAGCCCGCGTGCTCCTGCAGGTGGTGGCTAATGCGGTAGCGGCCCTTTCCGAGATAGCAGAGTCCCACCCCAGCAGCAACCTGCTGGACCTGAACCCCCAGTCCATTAACAAGCTGCTGACGGCCCTGAACGAGTGCACCGAGTGGGGGCAGATCTTCATCCTGGACTGCCTGGCAAACTACATGCCCAAGGACGACCGGGAGGCCCAGAGGTAGGGGGGGGCAGACCCCACGCTGGCAGGCCCGGG